CCAAGTGCGCAGCTCACAGTACGGTTCATGCTCCTGTGGGAATCTGATGTCCAGGCTGATCTGGCAGTGGGTGGAGCTCAGGCAGTCATGCTCCCTCAATGCTCCCTCACCTTATCCTGTGCTGCCCGGTTCCTAACAGGCCACAAGCTGGTACTGGTCTGTGGCTGGGGGCTGGGAACCCCTGTCCTATAGGATTGGTCTTGGTATACCCAGCCCAGGAAACAGAGCCCAGTGACTTCCCAGTTTCTCAGCCAGAGAGGCCCAGGCCCTGGACCCCAGAACAAGCCAGGAGAGAGGGTAGAGGTGGCTCAGGCCTGGGCAGGCAGCCCAGGTCGCCAGGATCGTGGTCCTCCCCATGCCCACTTCAGGAGTCCTGGAGTTTGTGATGCTGCACCTTAGCGAGGCCCGAGCCATAGTTCTCCAGTTGCTTCTGCCCGTAGCAGTGCAGGGCCAGGAGAGGGGACACAGGAGGCCTTGCGTCACTACTGCATGGGGCCAAAGGGGGCCCACAGATAGCCCAACACGGGCAGCATGGCTGCCGCCAGGAAGATCCAGAACGTGGGAGGGGCAAGGCTCCTGCCCAGACTCCAGGCCTGGTGTCCATGGGGCTGCCAGGTGAGCACCCCGGCACAGCGGGGAGGCTGCATGGGCACCGCAGGCCCTATCTCTGGGCAGCTGTGGGAGACACACAGCTACTGGGAGGTGGACAGAGGCCAGCAAAGACCAGTGAGGGGCTCAGTGGTCCCCAGGCCTGGGCCGGGGCGGGCCCTTGGAGCTGTGGAGTCCTGAAGGCTGGAGTCGGGGGACCCAGGGAGCAGCGTCTGTTGGGGGCTGGTCTTCCCAAGAAGATCCCAGCCCCTCCTCCGGACGGAAGTGATGGGAGATCCTGGGGTGAGGAAGCTCCAGCTCCGGCGGGAAGGGCGTCCGGTGCCCCCAGGCAGAGCAGCCACAGGCAGAGCGGCCTGGAGGCCATGCTACCGCGGGCTGCGGAGTCCAGCGCGGCCCGGCCGGCGACAGACACTGGCCAGAGGGTCACTGCCCTGTAGGGGAAGGACCTGCCCGGGGAGCCACCTGCACTTGGCTCACACTCCGCTCCCAGGACCCCCAGGTCCCTGCCCAGGCCGCCCTCAGGTGGGCACAGACCGCGGGGCTGGACCCGCCCGAGCCGCCCCGACCTCAGGTCCCGGACGCTCCGCCCCGCAAGAAGACAGAGTGCGCCTCAGTCCGCAGTCTGGGGTGTGGACACACGGCCAGGACGCGCACGACAGGACCTCAGCAGCGGCGCGGGGAGACAGCCGGGCCCAAGCCCTGCGGCGAAAAGAAACCCCCGGCCCACCCGGCGCTGACACCCCCTCACGCAGCAACCGCGCGGGCACAGCCGGTGGTCATCCGCGCACGCCCCGGCCCTTGTGCGCGTGCGCATCACGTGACGTCACCACGGCCCGGGAGTGCGCAGTCACCCTCCGGCCACCAGGAGGCGCGCCCCGCCCCCCTGCCCCGCTCTCTCGCTGCTGACAGCGCATGCGTCCGTCCAGCTCCGCCTTTGCCTTCAAGGCTTTGCGGGCTTGTGCGGCGTCCGCCTCCGACTGCGGGTTGTGCTTCCGGTGCGGAGGTCAGGGACAAGATGGTGCCGCCGGTGCAGGTCTCTCCGCTCATCAAGGTGATCCAGGCTTTGCAGCCGCCGAGCAGTGCTCTGGGCCCCTTCGTGTCCCGCCCCGCAGCTCCCACCCCGCGGGCTGCGACCCCCGCCCCCCGCCCCCATGATCCCCGCCCGGCGACCCTCGCCCGGCGACCCGACCCCCACCCCTCCTGCGACCTCTGCCCGGCGACCCCATCCCCTCTCTTCCCGCGACCCCCATCCCGCGAGTCCGGTTTCCCGCCGCCTCTGATCAACCTCTCTCGCAGCTCGGCCGCTACTCCGCCCTGTTCCTCGGTATGGTCTACGGAGCCACGCGCTACAGTGAGTGACTGCGGGCGGGCCCGGGGCCGGGGCGGGATCTGCTCGGCTTTCCTGTGAAGTTCTTTATCTGCCATTTGGTGAACTCCAGCTCTGGAAGTGGGGCTGGCACGCATGCGAGGCAGACCGTGTCCTCCACCGACCGGGACCCCTAGAGTGGAAACAGCTCACCCAAAGCTCAGGCCTCTGAGGCTCGGGCGGGGGACTCGAAAACGGCAGCTGCTTGTTGAAAACGGGTGCTGAGTAGGTGTTGGAGTGCTGAGGTCTGACGGGAGGCAGTCCCTGTTCACAGAGGACGAGTGAGCCAGTGCATGAGGGGGTGGGCAGCAGGGACCCTGTAGCCTCTGGATTGGACTCTTTAGGGTGAAGGTCAGGCGTTGACTCTCGTTGACATAAAGAGAGGGGACAGCAGGTGCTTCTGGTTCACAGCGTCGCTGAAGATACCTTGACCTGTGGACTCAGTTCCTTTTATGCAGCATTTCCAGTGAAGTTTATTCCCCTGCATTCCCCCAAACAGGTTACCTAAAACCTCGGGCAGAAGAGGAGAGGAGGATAGAAGCAGAGGAGAAGAAGAGGCAGGATGAACTGAAACGGATTGCCAGAGAATTGGCAGAAGGTACGTGTGACACTAGCTCTTATAGATTGTCCCTCCCAGGTTTGTGCAGGAATAAGGAAAATGGAGAAGGACATTCAAGCAGAGCTAAGTAGATGTGGATTGTTTAAAAACAGGGAAGCTGGCCAGGCATGGTGGCTCATGCCTGTGATCCCAGCACTTTGGGAGGCCGAGGCGGGCAGATCACCTGAGGTCAGGAGTTCAAGACCAGCCTGACCAACATGGTAAAACCCTGTCTCTACAAAAATTAGCTGGGCATGGCCGGGTGTGGTGGCTCATGCCTGTAATCCTAGCACTTTGGGAGGCCGAGACAGGCAGACTGCCTGAGTTCAGGAGTTCGAGACCAGCCTGGGCAAGATGGTGAAACCCCATTTCTACTAAAATACAAAAAATCAGCTGGGCATGGTGGCAGGCATGTAATCCCAGCTACTCAGCTGAGGCACGAGAATTGCTTGAACCTGGGAGGTGGTGCTTGAACCCCGGAGGCAGAGGTTGCAGTGAGCTGAGATCACACCACTGCACTCCAGCCTGGGCAGCAAAGCAAAACTCTTTGTCTAAAAAAAAAAAATTAGCCAGGTATGATGGCAGGTACATGTAATCCCAGCTACTCAGGAGGCTGAGGCGGGAGAATCGCTTTAACCTGGGAGGCAGAGGTTGCAGTGAGCTGAGATCACACCATTGCACTTCAGCCTGGGTGACAGAGGGAGACTCCATCTCAAAACAAAAAAACAAACAAAAACAACTGGGAAGCTGACGTCTTTTTAGGTTACCTGCGTGTAGTAACATGTGCTTTTCTTCTAACCTTCCAGCCCAAGATGACAGCATATTAAAGTGAGTGACCCCGTGACCCTCTCTCTGGAGCAGCAGCGGATGAATAAAGCTTCCTGTGATGTGTGATACTCTGGCTCCTTCTCATTTGCTGTCACTGGTTGTCAAACTCCTAGGTTGAAGTTCTGTCCATCTCCCAGTTCACATGAGGTGGAAGACAGGGAGGGGGTTTCAAAAGTATTAATCCACGTGACCATTCACAGACCCGGAATGCATCATACAAACACAGCGAGAAGGACAGACGCGCGCTACCTGTTCTGTCTGGGGCATCCAGGTGGGCGCCCCAAAGGGTGTCTGTAATGGTCAGTCCTCATGAGTACTGGGGTTGTCTTGATTCTGAGTTCTAGGCTGCTGCTGTCAGCAGCCCAGACTCCTGGATGGGGAGAGGTGGGCACTGGCTGCTGCCCTTACAGTTGGAAGCTGGGTCCTCCACGATAACTCCTTGCCCCCACCTGCCACTTCACAAATCCTCCCTTTGATCCCAGGAGGTGGCCAGGTCAGACTTGGGACTAAAAGTCCAGTGATGTGACCTCATGAGGACAGGGCCTGAGTGCTGTTTGAGCTGTGCAGGAAGGTGGTCCTGTGGTGCCTGAGCAACTTCCCTCCCCAACAGGCTTCCTGGACTTCTCACCCTCCTGGCTGTGAGCTTGCCAACAACTCTAACCCTTGGCCTGGTGGTTTGCAATGGATAGATAGAATTTGCTACTTCCCAATTACATGCCTTGAATAAATCTAGGCTTGGAGCCCCAGTTTGTAAAATGAGTTCCTTTGCACATGTGAGGCCAGAGGGAGGAGCAGCCTACAAGCTTTTCAGGACATTTGGTTAAGGTGAGGTTTGAGTGAGCAAGATGCTTTCACATCCTGTCCTGGCGTCCAGAGGGGCTGGTTGCAGGGTCCTTCAGAACCTCTTAGGAGCCCCTCATCCCAGTCCCAGGCTCTGGATACCAGGGGTCTCTGACCAGTGAGATGAAAATGAAGGCTGGGCACAGTGGTTCACGCCTGTAATCCCAGCACTTTGGGAGGCTGAGGTGGGCGGATCACTTGAGGTTAGGAGTTCAAGACCAGTCTGGCCAACATGGCAAAACCCCGTCTTTACTAAAAATATAAAAATTAGCTGGTTGTGGTGATGGGTGCCTGTAATCCCAGCTACTCAGGAGGCTGAGGCAGGAGAATTGCTTGAACCCAGAAGGTGGAGGTTGCATTGAGCCAAGACCATGCCACTACATTCCAGCCTGGGTGACAGAGTGAGACTGTCTCAAAACAAAAAACCCAGCACCCCTTTCCTGCAGGCCTCTGGCTGTGCTGGGCATGTCTGCTGCTCTCCTACACCCACCCCAATGACCCCATCTAGTTAAGTGTCATTGTCGGGAGCAAATGCTTTGGAGCTCCCATCATGAATTGAACATCCTGAATTTAACATAATTCCCATTTCAACTGGGAAGTCCATTTCTTTGCCTCTGTCCTTTACTCCAGGCTCACCAATATTTAGTCATGGGGGTGCACAGGCATCGGCATCCAGCCCCGCCCTCCCCTCCTGGTGCCATCTGGAGCCATCAGAGCCACTGCATGGTGTTCATCACAGATCATTTCTGCTCAGACCACTGAAGTTGGATGGCCGCTCTACCTGTGGCCTTGACCTTTCTGGCAGAATTTTTCTGATGGGTCAAATGTAGTGTGGCTTCTGCTATCATTTTACCACAAATAATGGGCAAGTGGTTTTCTGTTTATTTTATTCTGAATTTCTGAGCATGTGTGTTTTTCTAAACCAGATGAGAAATGACCTGTGTCCATCTGTCTACCTGTATACACATATGTACATGTGTGGCTGCAAATGTTCTCAGTGATTTCAGAGTTCATGCATGGACCCTTTTCAAAGACCTCCCAGTGGTAACTATCCAAAAACGATGAGTAATGTAAGCTACAATTTATTCACAGTTGGCTTCAGTTTATAAAAACACGCATGGTGGCTCATGCCTGTAATCCCAGCACTTCAGGAAGCTGAGGCGGGGTGATCATCTGAGGTCAGGAGTTTGAGACCAGCCTGCCCAATATGGTGAAACCCCATCTGTACTGAAAATACAAAAATTAGCTGCGTGTGGTGGCGGCGCCTGTAGTCCCAGCTACTCAGGAGGCTGAGGCACGAGAATCGCTTGAACCTGGGAGTTAGAGGTTGCAGTGAGCTGAGATTGTGCCAGGGCACTCCATCCAGCCTGGGTGACAGAGCAAGACTCCATCTCAAAAAAAATAATAATAGTAATTAAAATATCCAAAATGATCTTCAGTCATTTTCTTGGACTTCCTAACCTCTGGTAGCAAATGGCCACAGGCAGAACCCACATCCTAGTGGGTGAAGACTGAGGGAGCCATCGGGTCCCCGCAGGCTGGTGCTCACAGGATACAGCAGGTTGAAGACTTGGGTGCTGGGCCGCCATTGCAGATTTCTGTGCCTACTGCAAGGGAAGACGGAAGACGGAAGACGGTGAGTGGGACCACCTGTGCACACCAGCCCTGTTCGTTCCCTCCTGCTTGGTGTGACCTCTACCAACCCCTGCAGGAGGAACGACAGTGCCTGGGCCTGTGACCAGTTCAAGCTGATTAGCCAGGCTGAGCCTTTCTTAGTGCTTTAGCCCCTGTTGACACTGTGCCCTGATTATGCTCGTCATGGCCTTCCACAGCCCTGAAGTCTCCTTGTTTATGTAGCATGCGATAGTGGGAATAGCATGGGATAATGGGAATAGAGTGGGGTAGTGAAATGGCATGAAATAGGGGAATAGCATGGGATAGTGGGAATAGCATGGGATAGTGGGAATAGCAGGGGAATAGCATGAGGGTGGGAATAGCATGGGATAGTGGGAATAGCATGGGAGAGGGAATAGCATGGGGTAGGGGAATGAGTGAAGCAAGTAAAGTGAGAATAAATAGCATGGCATAGTGGGAATAGCATGGGGTAGTGGGAATAGCATGGGGTAGGGAAATAGTATGGCATAGGGGACTAGCATGGAGTAGTGGGAACAGCATGGCATAGGGGAATAGCATGGGGTAGGGAATAGCATGGGGTAGGGGAATAGCATGGGGCAGTGAGAATAAATAGTGTGGCATAGTGGGAATAGCATGGGGTAGTGGGAATAGCATGGCAGCAATGGGGATAGGGGAATAAATAGCATGGCATAGGGAATAGCATGGGATAGTGGGAATAGCATGGGGTAGGGAAATAGTATGGCATAGGGGACTAGCATGGAGTAGTGGGAATACATGGCATAGGGGAATAGCATGGGGTAGTGGGAATAGCATGGCATAGTGAAGAAGGGGTAGGGGAATAAATAGTGCAGCATAGTGGGAATAGCATGGCATGGGGAATATGCATGGGGTAGGAATAGCATGGTGTGGTAAAGAATAGCATGGGACAGTGAGAATAGTATGGGTAGGGAAACAGTATGGCATAGGGGAATAGCATGGGGTAGTGGGAATAGCATGGGGTAGGGAAACAGCATGGCATAGGGGAATAGCATGAGGTAGTGGGAATAGCATGGGATAGGGGAATAGGATGGGGTAGTGGGAATAGCATGAGATAATGGGAATAGCATGGTGTAGTGAAGAATAGCATGGGATACTGGGAATAACATGGGGTAGGGAACTGGCATGGCATAGGGGAATAGCATGGGACATCGGGAATAGCATGGGTAGGGAAATAGCATGGGGTAGTGGGATAAATAGCATGGCACAGTGGGAATACCATAGGGTAGCTGGAATATCTTTGGGTAGTGGGAGCAGCATGGAATAGTGGGACTAGCATGGGGTAGCGGGAATAGCGCGGGATAGTGGGAGCAGCACGGGGTAGTGGGAACAGCATGGGGTAGTGGGAACAGCATGCCAAACCTCAGAGCTAAGGTAGCCAATTACAGGCAAATGGCAAGACCACGATGCCTTTGGGATTTGAACTTGGGGGTGTGCTGACTTGTTACAACTTGTTATATGTGTTTTATAAAGAATGTAACATGTAGTTACTTCTTTAGTGAAAAATGGGGTTCATCCGCTAGGAACAGGAAACTTTTCAGTTCGGGTTTGCTACCAAGATGGAGTCAGCTGCTGCTCTCCCCCGCCGTGGTCCCACTCCCTGCACCATGGCCCTGTCCACCTCGGGGCTGCTTGAAAGTGGCTCTGCTTTTCTCCATTTTAACTCTGCTTTGCGCCCTGTCTTTTCACTTCGCCTTGGGAGAGTCACCGAGTCCCTGCCCCGCAGGCCACACAGAGCCAGACCTTTCTTGAGCGCCACCCTCTCCTCCTCCTTCTTCTCCTCCTCCAGAGCCTTCACTTTGGCCTCGTACTCATCAGCCAGTGCCTTCCACTCCTTCCTGTTGTTCTGCAGTCGGTCGAACATGGGCAGGATCTCTTCGTGGAAACGGGAGAACTCCTGAGGGGGGTCGAGAAGTCACCACGAGTCCTGTCCTGCCTGCTCTCCGAAAGTAAGATAGCCCTTCCCCAGCCCCTCCCCCTCGTAGGGGAACTGCCTGGCAGGAGGAGGGAGCGCCACGGAGGGGTCACCTTCCCAACAGAGCCCTACGAAGGGAGAAACCTCGGGGCTGGTGTTGGTGACATTAAAGCCGGGAGCTTTAAGGTGTGAATGCTTAAGCGGCAGTGTTGCAGGGAGAGGAACCCAAGAATGAGCAGAACAGCTCAGAGGGTGGGGGCAGGGTGCCGGGCAGAGGAGTGGTGGGCGCAGGTGGACAGCAGGCCCTGCAGTGCCTTCTCCTGTCCCTCCCCCCGACATACGGCACACATCACGGAACACACCACACGTGTGCACTCGCGCACATCACACATGGAGTGTGGCGGGGTGGGCAAGGCAGTGGGGGGCACCTGCAGTGGGGTCGTGACCTGCGGCCACTTCAGGCCCAAATATCCTCCTTTGTCCCACCTTCTCCCTAGCACTGATGACCCGGGGCGGGGAGTGGGCACGTCCCACTCCAGGACAACTTCATGTGGAACCCATGGCATCCTCCTTGGGGCGTGGATTCCATCACCAGGGAGAGCAGCCGGAGGCAGGTGGCTCTTGTGGGCATCACACCGGGGCCCCACAGTCAGACCCCTGCCCCAGCGAGTCTCCCCCTCAGTGCCCGCCTTGCATCTTTGGAGACTCAGCTGGCATTGGACTGTGGCAGATTGGCAGGGATGTGGCTCTCCCTGCTTTTCCAAACGCCACTGCGGGTAGGCACACCAGCAGACAGGCCGACCCAGCCCCGCCTCGAGGGTTCACAGACATGGGACGAATGAACCCACAGGGCTGCAGCCAGGGCCCCCAAAACAGAGTGTGCTGGCTGCGGTGGGGGCCACTGAGGAGGGACTTCTGGGGTGGGCCTGGAGGCCATCGGAGGACATTCTGGGCTGGGAAAGGGCTCAGAGCTTCCAGGGGTGCAGCAGGGTGAGGACAGGCTGGGGCACTTGTGGGGGTACGGACACTGATGTTCCTCCTCGAGAGCGGCATGAAGCCAGCCTGCCGGGCCCCTGTGTGAGTCCACGCGACTCCAGCCCACGCGCCCTTGCCTGCTCCCAGCTACACTGCCTCAGTCTGCTCGGAACACCCGTGAACCACGAACCTTGTACACGAATGTGCACACGAAGTCTATGAAGCCCACTTGGAGCTTGGGGAGCTCGGCCGCCTTGTTTCGGTCCATCATAGGCTGGTGGGAGGAGCAGAGGGCAGGAGAACAGTGACAGGGAGGTAGCTCCTCAGACCCTGCCCAGCCCCCTGACCCTGCGACACAGATGTGCTTATGGAGACACAGCCTGGGACGGAGCCTGCCCGACAGAAACTGGCTCTCGGGAAGGGAAGCTGACACCCTCCCCCTTGGCCAGCTGCTCCACAGCTCCTAGGAACTGTGGGCAGCTCCTTCCCACAGCTGCTGTTGGCTCCAGCCCATGGTCCCCTGAGGGTCGCTCCCTCTTGGCTCTGGGGACCCTTCTTGCAACTGGGGAGAGGCAGGGAGGGGAATGGCACTGTACACAGTGCCGAGCCTGGACAAGCTGCACTGCCCAGACACTTGGCTGACCAGGACCTTGCCATGCACTCACCTGGGGCAGACAGATGTGCTCTGGAGCTGTTTCTAGTGTCAGACCCTGAGTGCCCTGGGCTACCTGTCAGTCCCCTCACGGCCTCCCCGTGGAGGGTGAACCACACAGGACTCTAGAGGCCGGGTCCAGGGGATGAACCTGCTGCCTGTCCTTCCCCTGTGGGGCTTTGCTGACCAACCAAGGCCCCCTTTCCTGCCGAGGCTGCATCTGGCCTAAGCCCTCTCCACTGCAGGCTCCAGACAGCCCGTCACCACCCACTGGAGCAGGTGTGTGAGAAAGCACAGCTCCCACCTGGTCCACGTGGGGCTGGGGCAGCCCTGCCTCTCCTGTTCCCCGGCGCCTATCCTACCTCTCCCATTTGCTGGCGCCTCTCCTGCTGCCAGCAGGTATCCAGACCCTGCTGCTGACCTGAGGACCCTGGCATTGTCCATCATACCATGGCGTGGGCCCGGGACACTCCCCATGCGTTCTCTGCCCCAGCACCCTCCCCAGGGCTTTCCTGGGGCATGGCTCACGGCCCCGCTGGGGTTCACCTGCAGAGCTGTCTGGACCCAGAGGCTCTTGGTGATGAGCCAGTGGCTCTCATTCCTTCAGTGCCAACGACGTCACCTCTGCATAAGCATCACTCAAGCCACAGCTGCACCCAGATCCGAGCCACCCATACGCATATCACGTGACCCCACAAACTGAGATAAAGCCCCAGGACCTCAGAACCCCCTGCCTGATCCCTAGCCAGGACCTGAGGCTCCCGAGGACCAAGAGGGGTCTCTAACGCCCATTTCAGGAGTGGAAGGTTCCAGAAGCAGCACTCACAATGGGCTGCTGATCCAAGACTGTCCTTTCCAAGTCACCTTGCTCCCAGAACTCAGCAGCCACAAGGAGTGCGACCTGGAGGCACAGGAAAGCAGCTGTCTGTGGAGCTCTGAGCCCATGCGGAGGGGCCTGGGCCCTCCCCGTGAGGCTCTGAGCCTCGAGCCTCGATCTCCTCCTCCCCAGACCCCCAGGGTCCTCACCAAACAGGGCTCTGGTTGGGCCACTCAGGCACACTGCAGCACCCCCACCCTTGCCACCCTGGCCTGGCCCAGAGGCAGAGGAGGAGGCAGCCCTCAGCGCTCCTTGCAAATAATGGTCCTTTGTCTGTGAGGCTCCCACTGCCCCCCACCTCCCCCGCCAGCAGTCCCCTGTGCTGAGAGGTGCGGACTCTGGGTCTGGAGGGCCCTGTGTCCTAACCTTGCTCTGGACTTCCCAGGGCTTGGTGATGGCAGAGAGATCGCAGGCTGTCATCATCATGGCCCTATAGACACACAAGCCGGCATGAGTGCTGATGGGTATGTGTGCTGATGGGCATGAGTGCTGATGGGCATCTGCTCAGGGCAGGTGGTCTATATGTGTTTTCTTTTTTGAGATGGAGTCTTGCTCTGTCACTTAGGCTGGAGTGCAATGGCGCGATCTCAGCTCACTGCAACCTCCACCTCCCGATTCTCATGCCTCAGCCTCCCGAGTAGCTGGGATTACAGGCTCCCGCCTCCACGCCCGACTATTTTTATATTTTTAGTAGAGACGGGATTTCACCATGTTGGCCAGGCTGGTCTCAAACTCCTGACCTCAGGTGATCCACTCACCTTGGCCTCCCAAAATGCTGGGATGACCAGCCTGGGGAGGCGCTGGCTGTGAATCACCATTTTACAGGTGAAAAAGTGGAAAGTCAAAATGAAGTAAGTTATTGCCAAGGGCTACAGACCAAGGCAGTGCCTGTGCGCTCCCCACCTCTGCACCGTCTCCCTGAGCGCTGGGGGGAAATAAGGACGGTGCATTTGTTTCACAGGCCTCTAGGAGCTGCCCCAACCGGCTCTTCCTGCTCCAGAGCGTCTGGGGAGGGCTGCAGGGTTAACCAGCTGATGAGTGGGTCCGGTCCCTGCGGGGGAAGGACAGCCCTCGTGCCCCCTCCGCCCGCGCTCACATGACGATCTCCTTCCGGGTGGTCTCCAGGGACAGGTACTCCACCCAGCTCTTCTTGTCCTCGTAGTTCTTGGACTCATCCACGATCTTCTGAAACATCGCTCTCTTCCTGAACCCAGGAACAAGGGAGGTGCAGGTGGGAGCAAGTGTGGAGACCCCGCCCCAAGCGCCCCTCTGCAGGGAGGAGCGCAGCGGGAGCGAGGCCCCATCGGGGTGTGCGGGGCCGGCGGGCAGGGACAGAATCCGGGGCTGCGTCCCCCGGGCTAAAGGGCCGCTGCGCCCCCGTGTCTGCTGGGGCTCCCAGGCTTCCCGCCCGCCCCGCGAGGCGCCCCTCCCGGGAAGGCGCGCACTTGAAGTACAGGGCCAGGTCCGTGGCGATGATGGCGATGTCCATCAGGTGGATCACGTGCTCGTGCTGCCGCCGGTTCAGGTTCTGGTAGATGTTCAGGGTCTGCAGAGGTCGTGCCCAGCGCGTCAGGCGCCCTGCGGTCACCTCTTGGGGTGCCTGGGGACCCCGCCCCCTCCGCCCCGGCTGCCTGTGCCTCTCACACCCTCTGGCCCTCGGTGGGCGGGACGCCTAAATCCTCCTGCTGCTCAGGACCCTCCTCAGGGTGCCCAGACCTCCGCCAGCGGCTCCCGCCCAGGGTCGTCGGCTTGGGACGCAGATGGCCTCAGAGGTCACCACCGGGGAGGGAAGGGAGGGGGCCGCTGAGGGTCCAGGTCCTTGGGGGCCACTCAGGGCTCGGCTGCCCCTCATTCCCCCGCTAGTGGGTCCCAGGCCGCTTCCCCCTCGGCTTCCACCCCACCCCACGAGGAGTCCTTTCCAGATGTGGCTCGAGCCCCACAAGCGTCTTCCCAGAGCCTCCGATGCACCTGCCCCCAGCCTCGGCCCTGGGCCTTCTCTGCCGCCCTCACCCAGTGCTCACCCACCCAGTGCTCACCCTCCGCATCAGAACCCTGCTCCGCAGGATACGGCCCTGCGGTCCTGCGGACGCTGCATCCCCAGCGCCCACAGCAGAAACCGAAAACGAGGATACCAACCTCCTCGGAGAGCAGGAACTTCCCAAACTCCAGGTGGTGCCGCTCCAAAATCGAGGAGCCGTGGAGTTTAGCCAAGGGGTTCTGGGACCTGTCACACAGGCGGTGGGGGTGAGGCCCATGGGACCTGCCCTCAGCCCACCCTGTGCTCCGCAGCCCCTCCAGATGAGTCCCACTTTCTTTCTTTCTTTTCTTTGAGACAGGGTCTGGCTCTGTCACCCAGGCTGGAGTGCAGTGGTGCAGTTATGGCTCAACAACACAGCCTTGACCTCCTGGGCTCAAGTGATCCTCCCACCTCAGCCTCCTAAGTAGCTGGGACCACAGGCGTGCGCCACCATGCACAGCTATTTTTTTTAAAGTTTTTGTAGAGGAGAGATCTTGCCATGTTGCCCAGGCTGGTCTCGAACTCCTGGGCTCAAGCAGTCTGCTCGCCTTGGCCTCCCACAGTGCTGGAGTACGGGTGTGGATCACTGCCCCGGCCGTGAACTCCACTTTCTACATAGTCTGCTATGCGGAGCCCGATTCATGCCAAGGGCATGGAGTTGATGTAGGGCTAGTTCACACGCCTGCCTGTGGTGCCTACTTCATCTGGTACAGGTTGTTGGTGCCACGGTGGTCGATGTCATGGCACAGGCCAGCTGTCACCATGGCGAAGGCCTCCAGGTCTGTGTAGTAGCTCTTCAGTTTGCCGGTCTGTAGAGACAGGGCTGCCTTGCTCACCGGTCCTGGCTCCAGCAGGGTAGGGAGTGGTGAGGGGCTGGGATGGCAGAGGAGTTGGCCTAGGTGCCCTCCAACCACTGCAGGACTTGGGGGCGGGATGTGCGGTGTCAGAAGGCGTTGCCCTCCTCCATCCCTCTGCCCTGGGAGGACCCCCATCTCATCCCTCCGGGTGCATGAGCGCTGCCCTTGGTACCAGGAGGGCCTGCACAACCCTGGTCATTCTGGCAGCCACGCACCATGAGCAGTGTGAACATCGTCTGGGCCACGTTGAAGCCGTGACGCCAGTTGTGGTAGGTGATTCTCCGGTACCCTTTGCTGATGGAGAACAGGAACCGCACCAGGACCTAGGGGAGCCGAGAGGACACAGGGCTCCGGCGGCCAGTGTGTAAGTCTCCAGAGTGGCACATGTGGTTGACTCCATGGTGGAAGCTCTGCTCCATGCCGTCAACCCCACACCCTGTCTCCTGGACTCCCCGACCTTCCCCATCCCTGCGTTTCCCCCTGGCCTCCACTGGCCTTCCTGGGTAGGGGCTGCCACATTGGCACCTATGGGGAGGAGCCAGGCAGGGCAGGAGCTGAGAACAGCCCCGGCCTTCAGGGGCTGCCCGGCCTCCATCCGACTGCCTGGCCTCAAGCTGGGAGGAGGACCCCTGGGGACACAGTATATTTTAAGATGTCAGTTTTAGGCACGGACATTTGAATGAGCAGAATGTGTGGGCTGCAGGCGGGGATGGGAGAGCCGATGTCTGCAGGGCAAGAGAATGCTGGTCACTGGGAGCTCTTCCTGCAGCCATTGTGATTTTTAGGGTCAGAAAATTATTTGGAAATATTTTTCATTCTGCAAATATTTCTACACATCTTTTCTTGAGTGTTTTCCCTTAGTATTTAGTAAAATTTATTTTGAAAATGCCGGCCTGCTGCACCTGTTCTCAGAGGGGCATGAGAAAAGAGGATTCTCTTCCTTGGGCTATGGGAAGCCCCCTGAGATGCAGTGTTGGAAGCAGGGCAGAGCAGGAGAACCCAGGGAGGGCACAGAGCTGTGGCACAGAGCACAGGGCTGGGAAAGCCATCCCATCCTCCCCATGAGGTCTCCGAGGAGCGCCGCTGCGGCCAAACCTGGACGGCCACTTTGTGCTCTCTGTTTAGCTGATGGGATGCCTCCATTTCCTCAGCACCCCGCACCAAATCCCCTGTTATTGCCGGATGATGTGCCTAATGATCAAATTGCTTGGAACTCCTAATAATAAAGCTTTAAATCTATCCATTCACCATCCATCTGCTGTCCACCCATCCATTCACCCATTCATCGACCCATCTATTAATTCATGAATTGACCCACCTACTCATCTATCACTCATCCACCCACTTCTCCATCCATCCATCCATCCATCCATTCACTTATCCAACCATCCAACTACCACTGGCCCACCCGCCCATCCATCCATTTATCCGACCATCCAACTACCACTGGACCACCCACCCATCCATCGATTTATCCAACCATCTAACTACCACTGGCCCACCCGCCCATCCACCCATTTATCCAACCATCCAACTACCATTGGCCTACCCACCCATCCACCCATTTACTGGACCATCCAACTACCACTGGCCCACCCGCCCATCCATCCATTTATCTGACCATCCAACTACCACTGGACCACCCGCCCATCCACCCATTTATTCTTTGTTTCTTTCTCCTTACCTGTTTGCCTGCCTTCTTTCCTTCCTTCCTTCCTTCCTTCCTTCCTTCCTTCCTTCCTAACCTCCCTCCTTCCTTCCTGCTTTCCACCCACCCAGCCACCCATCAATCCAGCCATCCAATTATTTGTTTTATGCTTACTTCCCATATGCATTTTACCTGTTCTGTGATGAACATGTCTGCCTTCTAAACTTCCTGTGGGATCTGGAACCCCCAATCTCATCCCCCTCACCTCCTGGGGAACCTGAGGCCGTGACCACATCCCCATCCCCACATCCTGGGCGCCCTCAGGGACCTGACTATGCGCCCTGCGGTGTCTCCCACCTCCTGAGGGATCTGGAACTTTCGGACCACGCCCAGCTCGTAGTACATCTGGATGCCACATTTGACTAGGTCCAGTTCAGTGCACTCCAGGTCAGAGAAGTGGAATTCGTAGATGTCAAACGTGGTGGGCCCTGGCAGCTCCTCCTTCTGTGGGAGGGATTGTGGGCTGAGGGAAGTCGGCTTGCCACAGCCCCCACTTACTTCTCATCCTTTCTTCTCTCGGGATCCCCTGTCAAGCCTCAGACACCCCAGGCATCTATGAGGAGACGTGTCATTCCGGCGCTCCAGCCTGTATCCCAGGCTGTTCACACGCCCCCGTGACTCAGTCTCACTCTCCCCTCTTCTACCCTGTGGCCCAACAGTGAAGAACTTGCCCAGTTGGGTGGACAGGGTGATGTTGTTGAAATAAGAAAACACAAAGGTGTGCACATGAAAAGAAACACACACACACACGGATACAGACACACACGTGACACAGGCACACCTGGACACACGGCCACTCCCGTGAATACAAAGGCACCAGTGTGGACACACAGGCGCACACATAAGCACCCAGGCACACCCACAGACACACAGGCACACACGTGCAAACTCACACATGTAGGCTCACACACAGCCATGAGGTAACACACACAACAGTGGACTCACTGGCACATTCCCATGCTCGGCCCAAGGCCTCCTCACAAGGCGCACGGCCCCGGGAGATTCTGGGTGATTGCACAGGCAGACACAGGATGATAGGGACACCATGTAACCCCCACACTGATCCAGCAATGGTCTCTGGGAGACACACACAAGCATGTGTCTCTATATACCCATATGCACACACATGCACACACATGCGCACACAATACACACCCAGCTGTGCACACACGAGCACACACATAAACACCCATGTGCACACACACCCATGCACACACATACTCGTGTGTACACACGTGCACACCCCCCACATGTACACGTGTATACTCATATGCATGCACACACATACACACCCACATGTGCACACACATGCACACAGACACCCACATGTGCACACACACGTGCACATGTGTACATATCTGTGCACACACGCACACAGACACCCCCATGTGTGCACACATGCAGATGCACACACACTGGGTGTTGCAGGCACCTAGGCACTCGACAGCAGAAATGACGTAGACGGACACTTAGTCTAAGTCAGGCCCACTAAACATCTGGTGAAGACTAAACATCTGGCAAAGCACAGAGGAGACAGGAAGACACGAAGATACACTCAGGAGTGCAGACATCAAACCCATATTCTGGTCATGCAAACACACTTAGAGACACACTGGCTGAGACTGAAAGCCAGGCTTAGGTAGACACACGTACACTGAGGTGCTTAGATACACAAGTATACACACACACAGAGCACCAACATCTCCGATGTCACTGTGTGTGCAAAGCACCCTCGGGTCCCGGAGAATGGAGAACGCTTCCTCCCAGCCTCACACGTGGCCGGCCTCCACGGGAGGGACGGGAGCGAGGTTCTTACCAGGATTTCGCCCAGCTCGTCCTCATCGCAGTCAGCAGGCTCCTTCCCCAGGCGTGCTCTGGTTGGCTAGCACAGAGACACAGACGTGTCACAAGAAGGAGCCTCGTGTGTGGGACAAGGTGACAGCAGTGCGTCCACCCCGTGTGAGCTAGAGGAAGGTGCTGCCAAGAGCTCATGCTTTCTCCTTGGGAAGACCCTGGCAGCCTCTGATCTGGAGACAAACGACCGTGTGCATGGCCTCCTCACTTTCCCACCTGTCCTGTCTCTTGGGCACTGCTTTACAGTCCTCAGGTATAATGATGGGACTCTCTCATGATGACTAGGAGGGCTCTGGCCACACAAGGTCCCTGGCTGGGGAGATTGAGCACAGGGAAGGGGTACCAGGGCTATGCAGACAGAGAGATCTCAGGGGGCATGCCAGGGCTGTACTCGGCTCTGGCCCTAGGGCGGTGCCTCCGCCACACAGAGAGAGCTGTGACCCCTGGGTAGCCTGGCCCCACTGCACACCTGTGACCCATGGGTGACCTGCCCCCACTGTGACCCCTGAGTGACATGGCCCCCCACTGCACAGAGGGAGCCATGACCCCTGGGCGACCTGCCTCTGCCGCACATCTGTGACCCCTGGCGATCTGTTCCCACCGCACAGCCATGACCCCTGGGTGACCCCTGGACGACCTGCCCCCGCCGCACAGCCATGACCCCTGGGTGACCCCTGGACGACCTGCCCCTGCCGCACAGCCATGACCCCTGGGCGACCCCTGGACGACCTGCCCCCGCCGCACCAGGATGAGCTGGATCTCGTCCCTGTCGCACTTCACGTGGTAAAGGACCATGTCCTGTGCGATGTCCTTGCGGTTCTCCAGCTTGTTCATCTTGTCGTGGGTGTCGGTGTTCATCACTGACCAGCCCAGGAACTGTGTCAGGGACTGGAGGGGGTGGCAGTGTCACCGGCGCTCAGTGCTCCTGGCGCGCCCCCTCCCGTGTGCCCGTGTGCCCGGACCCGTGGCTCGGCAGGCAGTTCCTGGGGCTGCCACCGTGGTGTCGCAGTGCTTCCGTGCGGGGTCTCCCGGGTGTTCTACAGAGTCTCCCGCCCCGGGGGGGGGGCCCTTTGTCATCCTCTCCCCGGCCGCACGCTGCACCACACGTACACAACACGCACACGAGCACGCGCACACGGCTGAACGCATGGCGGGGAGGCCCCCACACTGCACAGGCCCCACCCCTCGCAGGGCATCCCCGGCGGAACCACGTCTGCCCAGGTGCTTACCTCCATGAGAACCTCATCCTGTTCGTCAAAGGGCTTCCCGTCTTTCCTGTTGTAAAAGGTGGCGACCCCCACGATCTCCTCCTTCTTGTTGACAATGGGCATGGATAGCACATTCTTGATGAGCCACCCGGAGTCATCCAGGGCCCCTTCCTGCGGGAGCGGTGTCCAGAGCTGAGCTCCGCCCTGAGGCTGGCCCTGACCCAGTGTGGCCGGGGAGAGTGACCTCACGTCTTCTCCCCTAGAGCCGTGACAACTGGACTCTCATTCCTGTCTCTGCTCTCTGCATTCCCTCTCTCCCGCTCTCCCTCTTTGCATTTGGAGTTTATGTCCATGGTTTTTGTGTCATGATATTTTCCCACTGGAGGAGGTAGAGGCCGTTTTCCCACCAGGGGTGGTTTCACGGATGTGTGTGGGGGGGCTGCGGTCACGGCCTCAGGGGCGTGTGTGGGGGCTGCGGTCACGGTCTCACAGGTGCGTGTGGGGCTGGGGTCCCGAGGAGCCGCTCTCCGTCCCGTGTGTGGCTGAGTGCTCTGCTGTCACCCTCTTAAAGTTCTTCATAATTAATTGCTAATCAAGGGGCCCCGTGTTTTTATTTGCCCTGGACCCTGGGAATGATGTGGTTGCTCCTGTCTCCCATCCCACGGGTCCTGGGCCCGGCCAGTGAAATATGGACGGTGGGCTGGTTCCCAGAGGAGGCCCCCAGGGACAAAGTGTGTTTAGACCAGCCCGGTTGGCCCTTCACCTTCCCCGGGAGTGAGCCTGCCCTGGCCATGCAGCACCAGATGAACGTGCGTGGCACAGACTCAAACCCTTGTCCAGCCGAGCCCTGTCTGGCCCAGCGAACCCAGCGAGTCCAGCTAAGATCAGCTTAGCCCCACTGAGCCTCAGCCGACCTCCAGACCAGTGAGCATGAAATACAGGCTTCTGGCCAGCTGCTGGGACTTCGAACTTGTTTCTTTTTTGTTTTTTTGAGACGGAACCTTGCTCTGTCACCCAGGCTGGAGTGCAGTGGCGTGATCTCAGCTCACTACCACCTCCACCTCCCGGATTTAAGCAATCCTCCTGCCTCAGTCTCCTGAGTAGCTGAGATCACACCCAGCTAATTCTAATTTTTTTTTTTTTTTTTTTTTGAGATGGAGTCTGGCTCTGTCACTCAGGCTGGAGTGCAGGGGCCAGATCTCAGCTCACTGCAAGCTCCGCCTCCCGGGTTTACGCCATTCTCCTGCCTCAGCCTCCCGAGTAGCTGGGACTACAGGCGCCCGCCACCTCGCCTGGCTAGTTTTTTGTATTTTTTTAGTAGAGACGGGGTTTCACCGTGTTAGCCAGGATGGTCTTGATCTCCTGACCTCGTGATCCGCCTGTCTCGGCCTCCCAAAGTGCTGGGATTACAGGCTTGAGCCACCGCGCCCGGCCTTTTTTTTTTTTTTTTTTTTTTTTTTGAGACGGAGTCTCGCTCTGTTGCCCAGGCTGGAGTGCAGTGGCGCAATCTCGGCTCACTGCAAGCTCCGCCTCCTGGGTTCCTGCCATTCTCCTGCCTCAGCCTCCTGAGTAGCTGGGACTACAGGCGCCCGCCACCGCGCCCGGCTAATTTTTTGTATTTTTAGTAGAGATGGGGTTTCACCGTGGTCTCGATCTCCTGACCCTGTGATCCGCCCGCCTTGGCCTCCCAAAGTGCTGGGATTACAGGTGTGAGCCACCGCGCCCGGCCTTTTCTTTTCTTTTTTTTTTTTTTTTTTGAGAGGGGGTCTCACTGTGTCGCCCAGGCTAGAGTGCAGTGGCCGGATCTCAGCTCACTGCAAGCTCTGCCTCCCGGGTTCACACCATTCTCCTGCCTCAGCCTCCTGTGTAGCTGGGACCACAGGCGCCCGCCACCACGCCCGGCTAATTTTTTTTTTTTTTGTATTTTTAGTAGAGATGAGGTTTCACCGTGTTAGCCAGGATGGTCTCGATCTCCTGACCTCGTGATCCGCCTGCCTTGGCCTCCAGAAGCGCTGGGATCACAGGTGTGAGCCGCCATGCCCAGCCTCTAATTCTTTTTTGTATTTTTAGTAGGGACAGGGTTTCACCATGTTGGCCAGGTTGGTCTTGAACCCCTAACCTCAGGTGATCCACCTGCCGCGGCCTCCCAAAGTGCTGGGATAACAGGCGTGAGCCACCACACTGGCTGAGGTTGTTTCTTAAGTGGCAAAAACTAATTCACTTCATCATTGCTGAATCAAAATCTCTTCTTTTGTAAGCAAGTATAATTTCTACCAAGGCATGGACAGATACCTGAAATTTGAACATTTCATCAGCAGAAGCATTCATGATGTTACAAATCTGAAAAAGGATCAGAAAAACGATTTCATCCAAAGCAGCTGAGGGTCTATCATGATCTAAAATGGCCTCTGTGGCCTTGAGGTGAGCTTCTAAGTAGGCAAAGCAGAGCAGCTGGGGGCTCTCTGAGGCACACGGAGGCCGGCCAGGAGCCTGGGACGTGGCAGAGACAAGGACAAGCACACATCGCTGCACCCAGCGAGGGTAAGGCTGTGGGGGCTCCAGACAGCACGGGACTCACAAAGCCGCTTTCCGCCACGTAGCTTGGAAGGCCGCTGGCCAGGGCCCAGTGATCGGCTGGGGGTGTGCTGCGGGCAGAGAGCAGGGGTCAGATGGGCCAGGCCGGACTGGACGTGTGTGTGCTGGAGTGAGAGGGGCTGGGCTGGACTGGACGTGTGTGTGCAGGGGTCAGGTGGGCCAGGCCTGGGTTGGACGTGTGTGTGTGCAGGGGTGAAAGGGTCCAGGCCAGGATGGACGTGTGTGTGCAGGGGTGAGAGGGGCTGGGCTGGGCAGGATGTGTGTGTGCAGGGGTGAGAGGGGCCGGGCTGGGCTGGACGGCTGGGCTGGACATGTGTGCAGGGGTGAGAGGCACCAGGCCAGGCTGGACATGTGTGTGCAGGGGTGAGAGGGGCCGGGCTGGGCTGGACGTGTGTGTGCAGGGGTGAGAGGGGCCGGGCTGGGCTGGACGTGTGTGTGCAGGGGTCAGAGAGGCAGGGCTGGGCTGGACATGTGTGTGTGCAGGGGTGAGGAGGGGTCGGCTGGGCGCTGGACGTGGTGTGTGCAGGGGTGAGAGGGGCTGGGCTGGGCTGGACATGTGGGGGTAGGGGCTGGGGAGAGGCAGGGCTGGCTGGACATGGTGTGGGTGCAGGGGTGGGAGAGGCACCAGGCTGGGCTGCACGTGTGTGTGTAGGGGTCAGAAGTGCAGGGCTGGCCTGGATGTAGGTGTGCAGGGGTGAGAGGGGCCGGGCTGGGCTGGACGTGTGTGTGCAGGGGTGAGAGGCACCAGGCCAGGCTGGACATGTGTGTGCAGGGGTCAGAGGGACTGGGCCGGGCTGGACGTGTATGTGCAGGAGTCAGATGGACTGGGCATGTGTGTAGGAGTCTGGGGGTCTCTGGCGCAGTGTGCCATCCTCAGCATTTACTCTCTTCTCTGAGCTCCAGGGGGCTGAGGAGGCGAGGAGGCCAGGGTGCGGGAAGACGGCTGTGCTTCCTTCTCCCTCTTCCCCACGCTGCCATGCTGAGTGGGGCCCCTCGCTCTTGGAACCCTTCCCTCTCTGGAGGCTGTGTGGCTTCAGCCTGTCTTTTAGGACGCAGCGTTGGTGCCTGCCCTGCCACCCTGACCCTGACTTGTGCTCAAGCCTGGCACCTGGATCCTGGTTCCTGCTTGGGGTCTGGGGATGGGGTCCCGATAGGCTTATAGGATCACAGGGCCACTGGGCCATGCAGCTGTCCCTCCCTTGGCTGGAGTCCTGCCCTGACCTCCGGACTGGACTTCCCTCCTCTTCCAGCCCCACAGGGCCAAGACTCGGCCTCCTGGCTGGAGGCTCCACTGTCTGGGTTGGGCTGGTGGAGACAGGGTCAGGTCCTGGGGCTTCATGCTCAATTGGTGCTGACGAGGCCACCTGGACAGCTTGCCTGGTCCCTGGACGTCCACTCTGGATGTCCACAGTGACTCAGGCTCCTCCGCTGCCCACGTCCTCCTCACCATCTCCCAGAACAGTGAGTTGGCTTCTGTCTCACCCCCCACTCCACTATGCCCCACGGCACACAGAGCACCACAGGTGGGGCCGGACCAGGCCGGCGCTGCTGACCGCACCATGGGAGGCCCTGGGAGGATGGCCCTGGAGGCTGAGCCCGGATCTGAGGGGTGGTCCCTCCCCCGGGGATGCTTCTGGCAAAACCCGGCACTTACGGAATGACCTTGATTTCCTCCTTGCCGTGGAGGATGTAGTCGATCACTTTGTAGAAGACGATTTCCTGAGAAACAAAAGACCCCGGTCGATGGGTTGCCTGGCCAAGCTCCACACGCACACACAGTTACACACAGACACACAGCCTGGCCAAGCTCCACACGCACACACACAGTTACACACAGTTACACACACACAGTTACACAGTTACACCCAGTTACACACACACAGTTACACACAGACACACAGCCTGGCCAAGCTCCACACGCACACACACAGTTACACACAGACACACACAGCCTGGCCAAGCTCCACACGCACACACACAGTTACACACAGTTACACACACACAGTTACACACAGACACACATCCTGGCCAAGCTCCACACGCACACACACAGTTACACACACAGTTACACACACACAGCCTGGCCAAGCTCCACACGCACACAGTTACACACACACAGTTACACACACACAGTTACACAGACACACACAGCCTGGCCAGCTCACACACACACACAGTTACACACAGACACACACAGCCTGGCCAAGCTCCACACGCACACACACAGTTACACACAGACACACACAGCCTGGCCAAGCTCCACACGCACACACACAGTTACACACACACAGTTACACACACACAGTTACACAGACACACACAGCCTGGCCAAGCTCCACACGCACACACACAGTTACACACAGACACACACAGCTGGCCAAGCTCACACGCACACACACAGTTACACACACGCAGTTACACACACACAGTTACCCAGACACACACAGCCTGGCCAAGCTCACACGCACACACACAGTTACACACAGACACACACAGCCTGGCCAAGCTCCAAGGGGCTCCCACACGCACACACACACAGTTACACACAGACACACACAGCCTGGCCAAGCTCCACACGCACACACACAGTTACACAGACACACACAGCCTGGCAAGCTCAAGGGGCTCCACACGCACACACACAGTTACACAGACACACACAGCCTGGCCCTGGCCAAGCTCCACACGCACACACACAGTTACACACAGACACACACAGCCTGGCCAAGCTCCAAGGGGCTCCCACACGCACACACACAGTTACACACAGACACACACAGCCACACACATGCACACACATGCACACTCCCACACATGTAACCGTGCATGTGTACACACATGAAGAGATGTCTCCGCCGTGCACAGGAATTCTACGAACGCGGGCGCACTCACACCCACATCCACACACAAGCAGACCGTCACCAATACTCACGGGACACGCATCACACGCCGTGGTTTAGATCTGTCTTCCCAGTCTGTGTCCCACACAATCCCACGCACAAGCTGGGCCCGTACTCTCACACACACACACACGCATCCTACACGTGTACAGGAGGTCCCATGCGGGGAGATGGGGCAGCAGGAGTCCCCGCAATCAGAGCTGACGTGGGCCTTCACAGCCAGCCTGGCGGCCCTCAATCGGGGACCAGCCCTGGACACCCCATCCCTGGAGCGCAGCAGTAGGGGAGCCTGGTGGAGACAACAGACAGGCACCCGGGAGCCCCCCCGGCCAGTTCCCACCTCCCCAAACCCCACCCCTATCCCTCCCTCTCCTGCCCTGAAGTTGGAGCCAGGGAAACAGAGGCATGTGGACGGGCCCTGGGCCCCTCCCCTAAGACTCACCCGGCCATCCGGTGTGCGTGGGCCTGAGTACGGCTGGGACTCTCCCATCAGCACAGGCCACACGTCAAAAAATTCCTGGGCAGAGAAGAGGTGAGGGTGAGGCCGTCAGCGCGGGACCTGGGTCGGGCCAGGCAGGGGGTCCCCGAGCCGCCGAAGCCTCACCTTCTCCTTGGTCATGTCCAGGAGGCCCACGGAGTAGCGCTCGCAGTTGAGGTAGGCCCTCACTGTGTAGAAGGCCTTGTGGAACTGCCTCTCGATGTCCGTCAGCTCCTCAAACACCTTGTTGGCCGACCACAGCAGCACCTGCAGGGAGGGGCACACCTGTGGGCCTGCGGCCACCCCACCCTCACGCCTGTCTGACCACAGCAGCACGGGGTCAACTCAAGCCTGACACACAGGTGCGCTCCCGCATCTGACCACCTGCCCAGCCGTGGAGCCCGGCACAGACCCTGATTGGTGGCTCCGTGGCCAAGTTTCATCTGAGCGTGTGGCACCCACGCGCGCGGGGCCTGGGAACCGGCTGGCGGTGAGGCCTCCAGGCTGCGGTCACGTCCCTGATCACTCACAAGGGGACAAGCGGAAAGTGGAATCTGCCGCTTGGACCTACAGAGGCAGACATCCGACCAGCCCTTCTTCCTCTCGGCTGCTGCAGAACCGCCTGTGGTGAGCTGGGCTTTGAGAACATCAGGCCGTGGTTTCTGGATGTGGGGCCTCCTGTGGCTTCCGCTAAGCGTCTGAGAGTGAAGCGTTGCTGACGCACTCCACGAGGTCCTGGCCAGACCCTGCGCAGGACGTCCCACCGCACGGGCCCCTGGCTGCTGGGTTAGCGCTGCCGCCAGGCTCAGACTCACCCCAGGGCCCTCCTGGGTCCACCTTTCTCTGCCTCCTTGGTCAACGTCCAGACCCAGTCCCCTCCAGGCCTTGCCTTCTCACACTCGCGGCGGCCGCTGGGTCTTCTACCGCGTGGTGCCAGCTCTCTCTCCTCCGCTGCGGCGTCCTAGCCCAGCTCTCTCCCCGCCAGGCCCTCTGAAGTTCCACCCCGTGGCATTCAGCTCATGGTGGGAACAGGACCAGGCTCTCCTATTGCCAAGGGCAGTGAGACGTTCGTAGCTTTATTTCCCAATACCTTGATTTTACTGATTTTAGTTTATCTTCGGTTGAAATAATTGTGTGTATTTATGGGGTTTATGTATTACGGGGTTTGGTGTGATGTTCTGATCTATGTATTTGTTGCAGAAAGATTCAATTAAGCTAATCAACATATCCATCATCTCACCAACTTATTTTTTTATGGTGAGAACATTGCAAATCGATTTTCTAGCAATTTGGTATACGACACAGTCATCCCTCAGTATCCTCAGGGAAACTGGTTCCAGGACGCTGCTCTGATATCAAAATCCGAGGATGCTCAAGTCCCAGATATGAAACGGCCTAGAGTTTGCACAGAGGTTGCACACGCCCCCCACACCTTAAACCATCTCCGATGACTCAGCACCCAGTGCAATGCAATGCCATGAAAACAGCTGTTCTACTGTATTGTTTTACATTCTTATTGTTATTTTAATTTAAAACTTTTCCCACATAATAAATCCTCAGAAGCAAACCACACTTACCGAGCACCCTGTGTACTGTGGTTAATGGCAGCGGTGGCCGCCATGCAGTGCGGCTGACCTTGAAGCCCACAGCTCCAGCTAACGAACACTTTGCACCCTTTGACCAATGTCTGCTTTCTCTCTCTGTCTTCCTGCCCCGGCCTCCTGCAATCCCCTTTCCACTCACTGTTTCCATGAATTCAGGGTTTTTGGATCCCACACGTGAGTGAGATCCTCGCTTCTTTTGGCCAACGGCATCCTCCAGGTCCATGCACGTCACTGTTCTTCCCTGGTGGTGTCCTCAGTGCTAGCTCTGCTGTTTCCAGAGCCCCTCCCTCCCTCCCTGCTGAGGCCCAGCCCCCCAGCAGCCCCCAAGCACCAGCCTCTCTCCACACGGTGTCCAACACCTTTTTCTCCCTGAAGCCTTTCCTGAGCCATGTGTCTCCAGTGACCCTGACCCCTGCCTTCCAATCTCTGCCGGGTCTGCAGCCTACACTGACTCCTGCCTCACCAAGGGGCGCAGACCCTCCTCAGTGGCCTCCGCACTCTCCTGCCCTGGCTGCAGTTTTGGTCCCGGAGCCGCCCTGGCCGCAGTCACGGTCATTGAGCCGCCCTGGCCGCAGTCACGGTCATGGAACTGCTGCTGGTGCCACCCTCAGCAGAAGCTCCCAGGCTTCCCAGCCCTTATCTGAGTATGTCCCGCCCTCTGTGTCCCTGCACTGGTCAGGAGCTTTGGCCCCGTGCACGTGTGCAGAAGTCAGTTTAGTCACTAGAGTTAGTGGGTCCAGAACAGGACTTAGGAAAACAGCAGGTGCAAACGGCAACCGCTAGGCTGCTCTTCATGGCCCCAGGGCCTGCTGAATGGAGACGGCTCTTCATAATCCCAGGGCCTGCGGCTTGGAGACACGTTCAGCTGTAGACGTGTGGAATCGCCAGGTGCATTCTCCTCATATGCCTGGTTCACCCAGAGCCGCAGGTGGAGGCCTGGCCCACCCCCTGTGCCCTCTGCATCCCTCGCACGCTCAGTCTCTCTCCTGCGGACCTCAGCGTCTTCACTCAGGCTCTGGCCTCTGCCTCCAGGCCCTCATCCTGGGCCCTCCTCCTCCCAAGACTTGGCCTCAAGTCCTTTCCAGGAGGCCCTCCCTGAGGACCCACCAACCCCCCGGTGTCCCCACTCCCCATTCAGTCTGACCCCATGGGGGTCCCGCCTCACGAGGTCCCTCGGCCGCAGTCTGTGTGAGGTTGGGAGTGCAGGTGCTGGTGCCCGTGCGGGCCTTGCGTCCACACTCTCAGTGGCACTACTGCCCACCACAGACCTCCGGGCTCTGTGTGATTGCAGCCAGTGGCCCCCAGGAGGCCTGTCTCCACACGTGTGCCATGGGGAGGGCGGCTCACCCCCACCGCCACCCCGCACGTCCCTCTGCCCACTGCAGGGTGAGCCCCTCAGCCCTCATTTCCCCAACACACAGCGGCGAGGTCACTGAGCTACCTTGCGCCAGCCCTGTGACCTCGGGAAGGTCAGCTCACTCCTGGACCTCAGTGTCCCCACATATAAAACAGGAAGAGTGACATTCTGCACTCAGGGTGTGGTGAGGGTTACAGGCAGTAATGCCTGTCACACTTTCGAAGGGTGCCTGGCTCTGGGAGCCCCTTGTGTGTGGCTGTGTGAGCCGCTTGTGCGACCACCACACAGATACTCTGCTGGGGACCAAGCTCTGGCCGGACATTGGGCACAGCTGCGGCTCACTCTGCTGAAGCTCAGGAGAGGGCTGGGCTTCACATCTAATTTTTGGAGTCATCTAAGGACATGGGAAAAAGGGTTTAGCCCTCCCCCCACAGTGTCGATGGCTGGTCAAACGTCCTCAGCCCCTGCCCTGCCTGTGACAGCCCCACTGCTGTTGACACTGGAGCCTCAGTGAGGGCAGGCACTGAGTCCAAGGTGGTCTGAGCCCAGCAGCCCCACCCTGAGGCCTCTGCCTTTCCTCCTTGTTTTCGCTTTTAATTTTCCGGTTAAAAGCCTGCTGCTGCACACAGCAATTGACTGAAGTGTAGGCATCTTCAGTGTGCAGTGGGCAAATTTTCGCTGCCAGCTCAGCCTCAGGGCATTCCTCTGTGCCCCCGTCAACACCCCTGCCCTCGGAATGGCTCTTCCAACCTCTGAAACTGCATCTACACAACCTCCTGAAGCCAGCCTTCTGGCCTCCACAGCCTCCAGCCGCCGGCCCTCTCCCGTGTGTGGTGCCGGAACTGTTTCCGTCCTGACTGCTGGAAGTCTTGGTGCCTGGGTGGTTCTGGGCTGGGGGACCCCCTCCACTCTGTCCCCTTGGTGCCCTGACCCCACCTTGGGCCTTCCTGGGCCCTCTCTGCCCACACAGGTGGCCCAGGCATCTTCCTGGGCAGCGTCCCCCGATTCCAACTCCAGATCAAAGGGAAGCCCTGAGGCCTCTGATGGAGGCCGTTGACTGTGAGCAGAAAGCAGCTTGAGGCTTCGCACCTGGGGTCTGCCTGTCCCGGGCAGTGGCCCAGGGGGCCAGAGACCCAGCAGGGTTGGGCTCCCAGTCTTTCAAGAGATGTAGAAACCCCAATTCTTACATGAAATGTCTCGACTTTAAAATGCGGGAACTTGTTAAGCCAAACATCCAGTGCTGGGCGGGACCCATCCCCTTTCCAAGGTGTGGCTCGAGGCCTGCCCTGGAGTCTTCCAGACTCGTCCCCTCCTTGGGGAGTGGGGGCCTCTCCTGCCCTGAGCCTGTGCCCAGCATCCCGTGGGGGTCCCTCCTGCCCTGAGCCTGTGCCCAGCATCCCAGCACCCCCGTACCACCTGCTGCATCCACAAGGCCCCGGGGATGGTTCGAGTGACCTGGGCTTCTGGGCTGCATGGAAGCTGTGGTTGTGCCTCTCCTGCATTGACTGGGGTTGGGTTTAATGCTCCAGGGTAAAACCAGGGTGACAATGGTGGCCACCTGGTATAGTTGGAAGTGAGGGACCTACTGACACGGCGGGGGCAGAAGGCGCAGAGACGCATGTGGCCCTGGAAGGGGAGCTGCTCAGCCTCATGGCCCTCTCATTACGTATGGGAAGGAGGGGCCAGGAGGTCCTAAGGGGCCAGTGCAGATGGGATCCTCACTGGCTGCCCACCCCACGGAGGAGGGTCAGCATCTCCCCCGACCCCTGAGCCTGGGGCCATGGCCGTGGTGGGAGGAAGTGCCCAGGCCTACGTGGTCCCAACCCCAGGCCTTTGTGGGCCCACCAGTGAACAGTCTTCCCGGGCTGCGGTCAGCATGAGAGACCCCAGCAAGTGCCTGGGGGATCTGAGAATGGCACTCCTGGACTTTCAAAGCAGCAGCAGGTGCCCCCAATGTCCCTTGGAAGCCTGGTGGCTAGGATGGGACTTGTTCCTACTGAAGCCCCAGCCCCAGGAGCCTTGTTTCTGGAGACGTTTCCCTGCCGGGCCCAGGGCCTTGACATCGCCAGATCTACCGTGTGTCCTGGCATCAGGGCCGAGGGTTTCATCTCACTCATGGTGAGATTCTGAGCTGGTTGTTGAATCCTCAGGAATTCTGAGAGCCAGTTGTTAAACATAGCCATTTTTACAATTAAATCATGTAACCTATAAACTAGAAAGTTATATTAAAAGGGAAGGTGATAGACATCCAGGCTCAGCCACCCCGCCCCTCACTGTGGGTCACTGTTGCCTGTGCTCTGGGCTTC